GGTGAGCATTTGCCCACTGAAGACGGTTTCGACGCCAAACTACAGTCAGGTCAAAACCCGGGTGAGGATGACGAGCACGCAGATGAGCTTCCCTGAGACGGTTTCTGACAGTTTGCAAACTAACAGCTGTCCGGGTGGCTGGTCTCAGACGATCCCGCAGGTGAAGAAACCGGATGTGGAGGTCCTGGGCTGGCGTGGTTACACGTGGTCTGTGGAGGTCCTGGGTTGGCGTGGTTACACGTGGTCTGGGGAGGTCCTGGGTTGGCGTGGTTACACATGGTCTGCGGTTGTGAGGTGGACATACTGCCAAATTCTCTAAAACGAAGTTGGAGGCGGCTTATGATAGAGAAATGAACATTCAATTATCTGGCAACAGCTCTGATGGACATTCCTGGAGACATCTGTGGCAAGAAGCTGATTAAACAGCATTATCATTACACATGTGACAAAACTGCACATTTAAAAGTGGCCTTTTATTGTCCCCAGCACAAGGTGCACATGTGTAATGATCATGCTGTTTAATCAGTTTCTTGATATGCCACACCTGTCAAAGTGGCTGGATTATCTTGGCAAAGGAGAAATGCTCACTAACAGGGATATAAACAAATTTGTGCACAACATTTGAGAGAAATAAGCTTTTTGTGCATATGGAACATTTCTGAGATTTTTTATTTCAGCTCATGAAACCAACACATTACATGTTACATTTATATTTTTGTTCAGTGTATATACAACCCCATACCAGAGATACTATATAATACATATACATGTTCGGAAAGTATTCAGACCACTTGACTTTTTCCACATTTTGTAACGTTACAGCCTTATTCTAAAATGGATTAAGTTGTTTTTTTTCCTCATCAATCTACACACAATACCCCATAATGACAAAGCAAAAACAGGATTGTAGACATTGTTGCAAATGTATTAAAAATAAAACGGAAATATCAGATTTACATAAGTATTCAGACTCTTTACTCAGTACTTTGTTGAAGCACCTTTGGCAGTGATTACAGCCTCGAGTCTTCTTGGGTATGACGCTACAAGCTTGGCACACCTGTATTTGGGGAGTTTCTCCCATTCTTCTCTGCTGATCCTCTCAAGCTCTGTCAGGTTGGATGAGGAGCGTCGCTGCACAACTATTTTCAGGTCTCTCCAGAGATGTTCGATTGGGTTCAAGTCCGGTCTCTGGCTGGGCCACTCAAGGACATTCAGAGACTTGTCCCAAAGCCACTCCTGCGTTGTCTTGGCTGTGTGCTTAGGGTAGTTGTCCTGTTGGAAGGTGAATCTTCGCCCCAGTCTGAGGTCCTGAGCAGGTTTTCATCAAGGATCTCTCTGTACTTTGCTCCATTCATCTTTCCCTTGATCGTGACTAGTCTCCCAGTCCATGCCGCTGAAAAACATCCCCACAGCATGATGCTGCCACCACCATGCTTCACCGTAGGGATGGTGCCAGGTTTCCTCCAGACGTGACGCTTGGCATTCAGGCCAAAGAGTTCAAGCTTGGTTTATCAGACCAGGGAATCTTGTTTCTCATGGTCTGAGAGTCTTTAGGTGTCTTTTGGCAAACTCCAAGCGGGCTGTCATGTGCCTTTTACTGAGGAGTGGCTTCCGTCTGGCCACTCTACCATAAAGGCCTGATTGGTGGCGTGCTGCAGAGATTGTTGTCCTTCTGGAAGGAACTCTGGAGCTCTGTCAGAGTGACCATCGGGTTCTTGGTTACCTCAATGACCAAGGCCCTTCTCCCCTGATTGGTCAGTTTGGTCGGGCGGCCAGCTCTGGGAAGAGTCTTGGTGGTTCAAAACTTCTTCCATTTAAGAATGATTGAGGCCACTGTGTTCTTCGGGACCTTCAATGCTGCAGAAATTTTTTGGTACCCTTCCCCAGATCTGTGCCTCGACACAAACCTGTCTCGGAGCTCTACGGACAATTATTTCGTCCTCATGGCTTGGTTTTTGCTCTGACATGCACTGTTAACTGTGGGACCTTATATAAACAGGTGTGTGCCTTTCCAAATCATGTACAAATCAATTGAATTTACCACAGGTGGACTCCAATCAAGTTGTAGAAACATCTCAAGGATGATTAATGGAAACAGGATGCACCTGAGCTCAATTTCACGTTTCATAGCAAAGGGTCTGAATACTTATAAGGTATTTGTTTTTTTATAAATTTGCTAAAATGTCTAAGCCTGTTTTCGCTTTGCCATTATGGGGTATTGTGTGTAGATTGATGAGGAAAATAAATAATTTAATCAATTTTAGAATAAGCCTGTAACATATCAACATTTGCAAAAAGTCAAGGGGTCTGAATACTTTCCGAATGCACTGTAAAAACATGCATACAATACAGAGGCTGCATTTACACAGGCAGTCCAATTCCGATATTTTGCCCAATTTATTGGTAAGACCTGATCTGATTGATCAAAAGACCAATTACTGGAAAAATATCAGAATTGGGTCTGCCTGTGTAAACGCATACAATATAATACTCTTTAATGACTCTTTATTTAGTGGTTCTGTTGTGCTGTGAGGAATCCCCGAACTCCCTTCTCTGCTACTCACTGGAGTCAGAACTAACATTTTATCTCAGAAGTCAAAACATTTGAATAGTTAGGGTAATGATACAATGGTTTTAAATCTTAAAACCGTGCGTGCGTACCTTGCGGGATACAGATAAGTGAAATGGAGACGGTGTTTTTTCGCCACACATACAAAACCCATCTTTAAATTATCTTTCTGTATTCTGCAACTCATCATTCTCTGTGTTCTTCCTCTTCTCTCCTCTAGGGGGTGTTGACGTGCCTGGCCTCCCCGCTGCCCTGCCCTCCTTCCATGGTTGCGTACGGAGAGCGGTCCTGAACCAGCGACCAGCCATGCTGTCTAAACCCCTGTCGGTACACGGAGCTGTGGGCACACAGGGCTGTCCAGCCATGTAGACCCCCTTTTTAGCCCCGTTACACCCAGCTGGGTCGCGTTCATAAAAAGGACAACATTACAGAAAGTTCAGATAGGTGTTTCTATGTAGAACCAATATGATTGTCTGTCATGTAGAATAGGCCAGCTCTATCTTTTTTGTTTATTTTTTTGTTTACGTTTCACCTCCCTGAATGCACCCCTGGGGCAAGTTCAGTAGGACAATGTTGTGGAGCTTTGCAGATAGGAATGTTATGAATAGAGCTGATGTGATACCTGTATTCTACACACGTCAGAGAGGCATGTGTGTTCTAGATATTGTATTTCTATCTGAACATTCCACAACGGTGTTAGCCCTGTTGGATGCAGCCCTGATGCCCCTACTACTCATCTCCAAAAGGATCAATATAAAAACACATAGTGTACATTGTACACGTCTACCATACAATCACTGGTGTTGGGGTGATGTACATTAGTTAATTTAAATATATTCGTTTTTATTTTCCATCTCGAGTTCCAGTATGCAAAAAAAAAAAAACTAAACGCTTCAAGTGCTAGCGTAACGATAGCTTGAAAATCTAGACCTCCGTGTCATACAAGGGAGTGGAATGATGGCACAAACAGACCGGTACCCGGGCTAGAGCGTAAGATGGCTAAAGATGTCTTTTGTTAGTACCGTAGCACGAATCTACATCTCTCAGGGGCTGGTTTCACAGACATAGATTAAGGGCTCGATTCAATCCGTAGCGCTGAAGATCCGCTCTACAGCTTCAATATAAATGTAAAGGCAACGTTCCCGTGTTTTGCGGAGACTGCGTTCACAGTAAATGCTGCATATGTCGGCTCAGTCGGAAATTACCTTTCAATTTCGGTCGCCCGATAACTTCCTGATCCGGGTTGAATCGAGCCCTAAACCTAACTGGACCAAACTGCACTTATTTTATACAGACCACTGAAAATCTTATGGTTGTTTGGCCATGGTTAGAATACACTTCCAGACTGCAACTAGTCCTGGAAAGTCTGCTTAAAAAAAAAGTTTAAAAAAAATATTAAGAATCCCCTTAGTAGAAAATGTGGTTTGATCAATATTGTTCTGCTTTAGATACATTGATTTTGACTTTAGCTCCATAAAAATGCTTTCATGTTGAGAATACTAAATGTCTGTCTATGAAACCAGCCCTCAGTAATACTGTGGTGCATTTTACATTTTAGTCATTTAGCAGGAGACGCTCTTATCCAGAGCGACTTACAGGAGCAATTAGGGTTAAGTGCCTTGCTCAAGGGCACATCGACAGATTTTTCACCTAGTCGGCTCGGGGATTAGAACCAGCCACCTTTCGGTTACTGGCACAACACTCTTAACCACTAAAGCTACCTGCTGCCCCTCATCCCTTCAAGATGGAAACCGCGCCACTGTCCTGCCCCAGCACCTTTTGTTGTTTTATGGAGGAAATGGAGGTGAGCAGTGTGTTAAAATAAATAGTACATACTCTTCTGTTCCATGCGGGGGGGGGGACTGTTTGTTGTTGTCAGTAAATTGATATTCTGTTGTAATATCCCAAAACGGACGGTGTCAGTTTCACCATTAAGGATTCCAGCTTTAAAATACTATAAATCAGTCAGCGTTAGCGTTAGCATCCACACCATATCTACTGTATTTTATGGAATTGTACATTTTATATAGTTGGTATAAATGGGAAAATGTATGGATTATATCACAAGAGTTTAAAACTACAAGCAACTACTGTTTTATGTTATTATATAATATTTCACTCATAACATAAGCTGATCCCCCCCTAAGAAGAACTATAGTCCTAAATCAATTTTTAAATAAAGCCTTATTTGATACAAAACAAAAAAATGGGCATGAGTCAACTTCTTTGTATTTTAGTGATCAATTGTTTGCTTTTCAATAAGAAACAAAAAAAAGGCATTGGTCATTTTTCATTATTTTACTAATTTATGTTCACGTCAAGCTGATTGGTCCGTTGGCACATTATCTATGAGACGCATCAGAGAAAGGCAGAACATTAGTTTAGGCAACACTACAGACTAGCGGTAGTAAGTAACAGGATGTGACATAATCTAATCCAGACTCATATCCTCATCATCATCCTCCTTCTTCTTCTTCTTGTCTTTATCCTTGTCAGTCCCTTCCATGGCTTTGGCAAACGCTTCCACATCTGAATCAGAATTTAGAAAAGGGGAGGGGGGGGGGGGTTCAGTTCTTTGCTCAAGGGCACAACAGCAGTAGGCAGCAGATGGTATATTGACGCTAACCTCTGGTTACTGGCCTGTCTCTAACCTCTGGTTACTGGCCTGTCTCTAACCTCAAGGCTACTGCTGCCCCCTGTTGGCATGTGTGCTTACTGCTCGTGTGAGGATGTGTAAATGACGTGTGTGTGTGTGTGTGTGTTTGTGGGGTCTCACCTCCTTTGTTAGCTGCGTCAACAGCCTCAGAGGGCAGACCAAACTGGTTCATGAGAGGTCCAAGCTGTCCTGATGCCAGGGCACTGCTGAACATACTCATCGCCTGGGGGGGGAGAGAGCGACAGAGACAGGAGTTTAGCGTTTACCTGAATAAGGGAATGTTATGGAGGTTCTTTGTCAGTCATACCGATCAAAATGTTTCTCTGTAAACTAGGAGATATACTGTTGTGATTGTTTTTAAACCTCACCTGTTGGAACTGCGGCGAGGTGAGAGTGTTCTGGATCTCTTCTGCACTCTGAGGTAGAGACTCTCCAGAGGGCAGGTAAGGCAGGAGCCTCTGTTGAACCTCAGAGTTAGACAGGATAGGGGCCATGATCTCCGGGGTGCACACACTGGCCAGGTCCACTGACGAGAGAGAGAGAGGGTTATACACAGTGTATAAAACATGAAGGACACCTTCCTAATACGGAGTTTCACACACTTTTATATACTGAACAAAAATATAAAAAACGCAAAGTGTTGGTCCATAAAGTGTTGGTCCCATGTTTCATGACCTGAAATAAAAGATCCCAGAAATCTTTCATACGCACCAAAAAAAAAAAATCTCAATTGTGTGCACAAATTTGTTTACACCCCTATTGGTGAGCATTTCTCCTTTGCCGAGATAATCCATTCACCTGACAGGTGTGGCATATCAATAAGCTGATTAAAGAGCATGATCATTACACAGGTGCACCTTGTGCTGGGGACAATAAAAGGCCACTAAAATGTGCAGTTGTCACAAAACAATGGCACAAGTTGATAGAGCGTGCAATTGGCATGCTGACTGCAGGAATGTCCACCAGAACTGTTGCCAGAGAATGTAATGTTAATTTCTCTACCATAAGCCGCCTCTAACGTTGTTTTAGAGAATTTGGCAGTACGACCAACCGGCTTCACAATTTCAATGCACAAAGATACCGTGAAGAGATCCTGAGGTCCATTGTCGGGCCATTCATCTGCCACCATCACCTCATTTTTCAGCATAATAATGCACGGCCACATGTCGTAAGGATCTGTACACAGCTCCTGGAAGCTGAAAATGTCCCAGTTCTTCCATGGCCTGCATACTCACCAGACATGTCATCCATTGAGCACGTTTGAGATGCTCTGGATCGACGTGTACGACAGCGCATTCCAATTCCAGTCAATATCCAGCAACTTTGCACAACCATTGAAGAGGAGTGGGACAACGTTCAACAGGCCACAATTAACATCCTGATCAACTCTATGCGAAGAGATGTCGTACTTCATGAGGCAAATGGTTGTCACACCAGATACTGACTGGTTTTCTGATCGACTTTTTTTTGAAGGTATCTGTGACCAACAGATGCATTCAGAAAGTATTCAGACCCCTTGACTTTTTCCACATTGTTACATTAGACTTATTCTAAAATTGATTAAATAGTTTTTCCCTCAATCTACAATACCCCATAATGACGAAGAAAAATTGTTCCTTTTGAAATTGTAAATGTATTAAATCTAAAAAAACTAATATCATATATACACACACAAGTATTCAAACCCTTTACTCAGTACTTTGTTGAAGCACCTTTGGCAGCGATTACAGCCTCAAGTCTTCTTGGGTATGACGCTACAAGCTTGGCACACCTGTATTTGGGGAGTTTCTCCCAATCCTCTCTGCAGATCCTCTCAAGCTCTGTCAGGTTGGATGGGGAGTGTTGCTGCACAGCTATTTTCAGGTCTCTCCAGAGATGTTCGATCAGGTTCAAGTCCGGGCTCTGGCTGGGCACCTCAAGGACATTCAGAGACTCGTCCCGAAGCCACTCCTGCGTTGCCTTGGCTGTGTGCTTAGGGTTGTTATCCTGTTGGAAGGTCAACCTTCACCCCAGTCTGAGGTCCTGAGCGCTCTGGAGCAGGTTTTTATCAAGGATCTCTCTGTACTTTACTCTGTTCATCTTTCCCTCGATCGTGACTAGTCTCCCAGTCACTGCCGCTGAAAAACATCCCCACAGTATGATGCTGCCACCACCATGCTTCACCGTAGGGATGGTGCCAGGTTTCCTCCAGAGAATCTTGTTTCTCATGGTCTTACAGTCCTTTAGGTGTCTTTTGGCAAACTCCAAGCGGGTGGTCATGTGCCTTTTACTGAGGAGTGGCTTCCGTCTGGCCACTCTACCATAAAGGCCTGATTGATGGAGTGCTGCAGAGATGGGAGAACCTTCCCAGAAAGACAACCATCTCCACAGAGGAACCAAGGGCACATTAACGTCATTTAGCAGACGCTCTTAGCCAGAGCGACTCACAAATTGGTGCGTTCACCCTATAGCCAGTGGGATAACCACTTTACAATTTGGGGGGGGGGGGGGTTAGAAGGAATACTTTATCCTATCCCAGGTATTCCTTAAAGAGGTGGGGTTTCAAATGTCTCCGGAAGGTGGTGAGTGACTCCGCTGTCCTGGCGTCGTGAGGGAGCTTGTTCCACCATTGGGGTGCCAGAGCAGCGAACAGTTTTGACTGGGCTGAGCGGGAGCTGTGCTTCCGCAGAGGAAGGGGAGCCAGCAGGCCAGAGGTGGATGAACGCAATGTCCTCGTTTGGGTGTAGGGACTGATCAGAGCCTGAAGGTACAGAGGTGCCGTTCCCCTCACTGCTCCATAGGCAAGCACCATGGTCTTGTAGCGGATGCGAGCTTCAACTGGAAGCCAGTGGAGTGTGCGGAGGAGGGGGGTGACGTGAGAGAACTTGGGAAGGTACAGGAGCTCTGTCAGAGTGACCATCGGGTTCTTGGTCACCTCCCTGACCAAGGCCCTTCTCCCCTGATTGGGTCGGGCGGCCAGCTCTGGGAAGAGTCTTGGTGGTTCAAAACTTCTTCCATTTAAGAATGATGGAGGCCACTGTGTTCTTGGGGACCTTCAATGCTGCAGACATTTTTTGGTACCCTTCCCCAGATCTGTACCTCGACACAATCCTGTCTCGGAGCTCTACGGACAATTCCTTTTGACCTCATGGCTTGGTTTTTGCTCTGACATGCACTGTCAACTGTGGGACCTTTATATAGACAGGTGTGTCCCTTTCCCAAATCATGTCCAATCAATTGAATTTACCACAGTTGGATTCCAATCAAGTTGTAGAAACATCTCAAGGAAGATTAATGGAAACAGGATGCACCTGAGCTCAATTTCAAGTCTCATAGCAGAGGGTCTGAATACCTCTGTACATAAAGGTATGTTTTTTTACATTACATTAGCAAAATAATCTACAAGCCTGTTTTTGCTTAGTAATTATGGGGTATTGTGTGTAGGTTGCTGAAAAAAAGTATTTATTTAATCAATTTTAGCATAAGGCTGTAACGTAACAAAATGTGGAAAAAGTCAAGGGGTCTGAATACTATCCGAAGGCACTGTATCTGTATTCCCAGTCATGTGAAATTCATAGATCAGGGCCTAATTTATTTATTTCAATTGACTGAATTCCTTATATGAACTGTACCTCAGTAAAATCTTTGAAATTGTTGCATTTATATGTTGTTGTTCAGTATATTTATTAGACACACACACTGGCCAGGTCCACTGAGGAGAGGGTGATAAATATACACTATTACTTCATGGGACAACACAGCATAATGCCAGATGTTACGGTCTTCTCATATGAAGATGCAGAAAAATCTAAAGTAAATGTCTAGTCATTATGGTAGTCAGTTTATTCTGCAACTCTACTACAGTCATTATGGTAGGTAGTTTATTATGCAACTCTACTACAGTCATTATGGTAGGTAGATTATTATGCAACTCTACTACAGTCATTATGGTAGGTAGATTATTATGCAACTCTACTACAGTCATTATGGTAGGTAGTTTATTATGCAACTCTACTACAGTCATTATGGTAGGTAGATTATTATGCAACTCTACTACAGTCATTATGGTAGGTAGATTATTATGCAACTCTACTACAGTCATTATGGTAGGTAGATTATTATGCAACTCTACTACAGTCATTATGGTAGGTAGTTTATTATGCAACTCTACTAGTCATTATGGTAGGTAGTTTATTATGCAACTCTACTACAGTCATTATGGTAGGTAGTTTATTATGCAACTCTACTACAGTCATTATGGTAGGTAGATTATTATGCAACTCTACTACAGTCATTATGGTAGGTAGTTTATTATGCAACTCTACTACAGTCATTATGGTAGGTAGATTATTATGCAACTCTACTACAGTCATTATGGTAGGTAGTATTTATATGCAACTCTACTACAGTCATTATGGTAGGTAGTTTATTATGCAACTCTACTACAGTCATTATGGTAGGTAGATTATTATGCAACTCTACTACAGTCATTATGGTAGGTAGATTATTATGCAACTCTACTACAGTCATTATGGTAGGTAGTTTATTATGCAACTCTACTACAGTCATTATGGTAGGTAGTTTATTATGCAACTCTACTACAGTCATTATGGTAGGTAGTTTATTATGCAACTCTACTACAGTCATTATGGTAGGTAGATTATTATGCAACTCTACTACAGTCATTATGGTAGGTAGATTATTATGCAACTCTACTACAGTCATTATGGTAGGTAGTTTATTATGCAACTCTATTACAGTCATTATGGTAGGTAGTTTATTCTGCAACTCTACTACAGTCATTATGGTAGGTAGATTATTATGCAACTCTACTACAGTCATTATGGTAGGTAGATTATTATGCAACTCTACTACAGTCATTATGGTAGGTAGTTTATTATGCAACTCTACTACAGTCATTATGGTAGGTAGTTTATTATGCAACTCTACTACAGTCATTATGGTAGGTAGATTATTATGCAACTCTACTACAGTTATTTACTGCCTACAGTTTATTATGCAACTATGCCATCTTTTTTTTTTGTATCCCTATTTAGCCATCTAAAACAAGCTAATTGTTCAAAGTGAAAAATGAAAAACAAAGCCAACGTTTTCACAGCATGTGTAATAATAATATGACTACTTCTCCCCATCCATTTCAGTGGCGCAGTCGTCTGCTTACCCTCAGCTCCCTGTGCCGCGACGGCGGCGGACATGGCCGGTACGTTCATAGTGGCCAGGATGCTCTGCAGGTCGCTGAGCTGGATGGGTTGGGTGGGGGAGCCGACGGCTGCAGGCACTACTGGGGTCTGGGCTGCAGCAAATCAAATCAACGTTTATCCGTCACAGACAGGACGTGTGTTATTTCATAGTTTTGAGGTCTTCACTATTATTATACAATGTAGAAAATAGTAAAAATAAAAGGAAAAACCCTTGAATGAGTAGGTGTTCTAAAACTTTTGACCTTTGAACTTTGTGTGTATATAAACATCCCCTTTTCAGGACCCTGTCTTTCAAAGATAATTTTGTCCAGCATTTAGGGTTAACCCTGTTTCCATGATTGTTCAATGACATGCATACTGGAAGGTCGTAAAAACGCTTAGTAGCAATAAGTCAAAATGGCCTAAAATTGAAAACCCAAGAAAGTGCCAGGCTGCTTCTGCGTGAACGGCTAGGATGCTGCAACCCTGTCTTGGTCAGGAGATAAACGCTACAGTGAGACAGGACGGACAGCTGATCGTCCTCGCAGTGGCAGACCACATGTAACAACATCTGCACAGGATCGGTACATCCGAACATCACACCTGAGGGACAGGTACAGGATGGCAACAACGACTGCCCAAGTTACACCAGGAACGCACAATCCCTCCATCAGTGCTCAGACTGTCCACAATAGGCTGAGAGAGGCTGGACTGAGGGCTTGTAGGCCTGTTATAAGGCAGGTCCTCACCAGACATCACCGGCAACAACGTCGCCTATGGGCACAAACCCACCGTCGCCTATGGGCACAAACCCACCGTCACTGGACCAGACAGGACTGGCAGAATGTTATTGGTTTCTGGCCATTTTGAGCCTGTAATCGATCCCACAATTGCTGATGCTCCAGATACTCAACTAGTCTCAAGAAGGCCAGTTTTATTGCTTCTTTAAATCAGCACAACAGTTTTCAGCTGTGCTAACATAATTGCAAAAGGGTTTTCTAATGATCAATTAGCCTTTTAAAATGATACATTTGGATTATCAAACACAACGTGCCATTGGAACACAAGACTGATGGTTGCTGATAATGGGCCTCTGTACGCTCATGTAGGTTTTCCATTAAAAATCAGCCGTTTCCAGCTACAATAGCCATTTACAACATTAACAATGTCTACACTGTATTTCTGATCAATTTGATGTTATTTTAAATGGACAAAAAAACTATTTTCTTTCGAAAACAAGGACATTTCTAAGTGACCCCAAAATTTGAATGGTAGTATATACACTGCTCAAAAAAATAAAGGGAACACTTAAACAACACAATGTAACTCCAAGTCAATCACACTTCTGTGAAATCAAACTGTCCACTTAGGAAGCAACACTGATTGACAATAAATTGCACATGCTGTTGTGCAAATGGAATAGACAACAGGTGGAAATTCTAGGCAATTAGCAAGACACCCCCAATAAAGGACTGGTTTTGCAGGTGGTGACCACAGACCACTTCTCAGTTCCTATGCTTCTGGCTCAGTTTTGGTCACATTGATCTGGCGGTGCTTTCACTTATGTAGCAGAACGGTCACAACCCACACAAGGGCCAGTATGCGCTCATCATGATGCACATCAATGCGACGGTGGCAAGAAGGTGCTGGTCTTAGCGAGTGTCAGACATGGAGCGCTACAGGAGAAGCAGTACATCAGGAGACGTGGAGGAGGCCGTAGGAGGGCAACACCAGTCGCAGGACTGCTACATCGCTTTGTGCAAGGAGAGCCCAGCATGCCAGAGCCGCAAATGACCCCAGCAGGCACAATATGGTTGCTCAAACGGTCAAAGACTCATGAGGTTTTAGGGCCGACGCCACAGGTGGGGGTTGTGCTTACAGCCCAACACCGTGCAGGACGTTTGGCATTTGCCAGAGAACACCAAGCTTGGTCTCAAATGGGTCTTCCAAATGGACAATGACCACAAGCATACTTCCAAAGTTGTGGCAAAATCGCTTAAAGACAACAAAGTCAAGGTATTGGAGTGGCCATCACAAAGCCCTGACCTCAATCCTATAGGAAATGTGTGGGCAGAACTAAAAAGGCGTGTGCGAGCAAGGAGGCCTACAAACCTGACTCAGTTACACCAGCTCTGTCAGGAGGAATGGGCCAAAATTCACCCAACTTATTGTGGGAAGCTTGTGGAAGGCTACCCGAAACATTTGACCCAAGTTAAACAATTTAAAAGGCAATGCTACCAAATACTAATTGAGTGTATGTAAACTTCTGACCCACTGGGAATGTGATGAAATAAATAAAAACTGAAATAAATCATTCTCTCTACTATTATTCTGACATTTCACATTCTTAAAATAAAGTGGTGATCCTAACTGACCTAAGACAGGGAATTTTTACTAGGATTAAATGTCAGGAATTGTGAAAAACTGAGTTGAAATGTATTTGGCTAAGATGTACATAAACTTCTGACTTCAACTGTATGTATGTAGATATATGTATACATACATACATACACACACAGATACTTTATTGCACCATTTACACCCCACTGTGAGTGAGATAGACAGAATACAGCGGGGTGTAAACGGTGCAACAAAATATAAAAGTACAAATGGTAACAACACTAACACAATAAGGTGAAATACTATAGATAGAGAATACGGTGATAACACTACCAGCAGGAGTGGTGGGGGTGACAGTGGGCGAGGCAGCAGAGGTGGCAGCAGGGGTAACAGGAGTGGTGGGGGCCGCGGCTGAACTGATCCTGGTGGCGGCAGAGCCGGAGGAGGGGGTGACGGCCGCAGACTGACTACGGGAACTGTGGTTGGGGAGGGAAGAGCGGAGGCGTTATAGTGATCGTTATGGTGTGTACTGTACACGTAGCATAGCTTATATCTATGTAATGGTCTACGCTAAAATACTGTACAGTGTTTTAATGCAGCTGGTTTGCTGTCTCTCCAGCTTCCGTCTGACGTGACCGTGTTAGCTGTGTAGTTGGCTAGCTAGCAAGGAAGAAGAGCCTGCAAAGCAACCATATTTGTTTGGCATAGCAACCTGCCAATAGAACGAACCTCAACGGAACAAACAACCAGCCGGCTTGGCTAGCAACGGAGCGAACAACCAGCCGGCTTGGCTAGCAACGGAGCGAACAACCAGCCGGCTTGGCTAGCAACGGAGCGAACAACCAGCCGGCTTGGCTAGCAACGGAGCGAACAACCAGCCGGCTTGGCTAGCAACGGAGCGAACAACCAGTCAGCTTGGCTAGCAACGGAGCGAACGACCAGCCGGCTTGGCTAGCAACGGAGCGAACGACCAGCCGGCTTGGCTAGCAACGGAGCGAACAACCAGCCAGCTTGGGCTAGCAACGGAGCCAATGGACAAACGACCAGCCGGCTTGGCTGGCAACCCTAGATTTTTGTCGGGACTGTATTCTCGTGGAAGCATGAAACAGCCTATGATTACATTTAGCAAAATAATGTTTTTATTTCATTGTAGAAAAGCAAATTGTACACTCAAGGTTGTGTGATACAACTTCTTTAGCATGGCTGTGCTGATCTAGGGTACCCGGAGCCGCCTCGACTGCAGCACGGCTGTGCTAGAAAAGTCGTATCACACACCCTCTCCCTCTCGCCTCCAACTGCTTTATTATGAAGTAAGATCTGAAGAAAAATCTACAGCTGCTAGCTAATATGAAGTAATGGTGGTATTAGAATATTACCTGGGAGATGAGGAGCTGGTAGCAGGGCCTCCACTACCTAACAGACTGGCCAGACCTGGTCCTGCTGGGGCCCCTTACCTGGGAGATGATACCTAACAGACTGGCCAGTCCTGGTCCTGCTGGGGCCCCTTACCTGGGAGATGATACCTAACAGACTGGCCAGTCCTGGTCCTGCTGGGGCCCCTTACCTGGGAGATGATACATAACAGACTGGCCAGTCCTGGTCCAGCTAGGGCCCCTTACCTGGGAGATGAGGAGCTGGTAGCAGGGCCTCCACTAGCTAACAGACTGGCCAGTCCTGGTCCAGCTAGGGCCCCTTACCTGGAAGATGAGGAGCTGGTAGCAGGGCCTCCACTACCTAACAGACTGGCCAGACCTGGTCCTGCTAGGGCCCCTAGACCACCGAGTCCTCCCAGACCAGTTGGTCCAATCAGCTGCATCAGCTGCGTATGGCTCATGTTACCCAGGAGGCTTTGCAGGCCACCCTCACCTGGAAAAAAGACAATTCTGAACTTAAGAGACGAAAACAAAATCAAATAATTTTTCTAAGGAATGTCGAGGTGGTGTGTGTCTGTCCTAACCTCCCAGAGCAGACAGCTCGTGGCTGCTACTGCCTCCACTGCCCAGAGCTCCAGGCATGGGAGGGTTGTTCAGGTACTCATTCACCTTACGGCAATACTCCTCATCCTTGTCCGATTTAGGCTCCTGGTGATCACAGGAATCAAATGACATTAATATTAAGAGATCAATATCATCAAAGTATTGACTCTATGGTGACAAGAGAAATGGTTAACGTAAAGAACGAATAAAGTATTAAAAAAGGCCCCGTGCAGTCAAAATTCAGTTTTTCCTGTGTTTTATATCACATTGTACAACAGCTGATGAAACGAACACTGTAAAAGTGTGAAAACATATGATCAGTGTTATTTCCTGATAGTTGCTGGTTGAAAATACAATCAACACTGGACCTTCTAAAATCATCATGTTTGCATGGGGTGGGGTGGGAGTTTCGGCTTTCCATGGTGACATCACCATGCGGTAAAATTGGTTAACAGTTCCAAACCGCTCTACCAATAACAGCTAGGTTTCAGTTTCCCTTCCCCACTCAGACCACTCTCAGACCGCCCTAGCAAAATTCTTGCTTGAGAAATATATATATATTTTTTTTGCACATCTTTGTTTTTTTTGCACATTTTAAATGGAAACTATTACAGTAAGGTACTTAATTGTTCCCCAGAAAACATATTATATTTATATAAAAACAGCTGCATTGGGCCTTTAAGAAAGGGTCTTACAAAACCCCATTATTTCCTTGACTGGTCCCAGACCCATTGATGCTGTCTTGCCAAACTTCTATGGTCATTGTCACATATTTGGCAAGACAGTACCAACAGATCTGGGACCACTGGGCTAATTCATCCCCACCCTGTCTGCTATAGTTCCATGTCAAAATAAATGTTATACGTTATGTGTAAATGTAAAATTATTCAACCCTCACCTGCATCCAGAAGAACAGCCTCTTGGATCCGGCCTTGAACTTCAGCACGAACACCCGTCCTGTGGTACACTGGCTCACCTTCTTGAACTCACAGTCATCAGGGAAGATGATCAGGTCCTGGAAACAAAACCAAGAAATGATATATATAAACCTTACCTGAAACCATCACATATTTTTTTACTGGGTTAATCTTGTATAAGTCATTAGACATTCTTCTGTTTATATACTGTTTCGCTACCAGAGACATCATAGACTGGTACAAGATCTGTTTATGCTGTTTTACCAACTCCATTGCTTCTGTCTTTGGCAAACCAATCTGGGATCAGGCTAGAGACACTGCGCCATCTGATTCAACTTGATCAATATCCAGCAATCCACTCACATCATCAACATTTCCAGACCCCCGGTCCTTCCAGCAGAAGTGGATGAGGGAGTCGTCCGTCTGTTGGACGTACACACTGCCCTTACGTTTGTCCGGTGTCACCGTGCTGCCCTTCAGGGTCATCTTACCGGCACGGAACTCCACCAGGTATTTACTGGACGAGCCCCGGGAGCCTGAGACCAGGCTGGGGAATAGAGCACCTGAAGACATGATGATCCTTGGGTTGTTGACAGACACGTAGGCTGGTTGCTTTACTTCTGTAGTGGAGGAGACAAGATAATTGATTTATTCTGACCTAGCTGACAGTTGCATAAGCATGCTTAAATTACTATTAACGACATAGTATTGTTCTGTAGTGTCACATGATATAAGACTACTATTGATGTCTCCTGAGTGGCGCAGTGGTCTAAGGCACTGCATCGCAGTGCTAGCTGTGCCACTAGAGATCCTGGTTCGAATCCAGGCTCTGTCGCAGCCGGCCGCGACCGGGAGACTCATGGGCGGCGCACAATTGGCCTAGCGTTGTCAAGGGTAGGGGAGGGAATGGCCGGCAGGGATGTAGCTCAGTTGATAGAGCATGGCGTTTGCAACGCCAGGGTTGTGGGTTCGATTCCCACGGGTGACCAGTATGAAAAAAATATATAAAACATGTATTCACTAACTGTAAGTCGCTCTGGATAAGAGCGTCTGCTAAATGACTAAAAATGTAAAAATGTAAGATGTGCCGTGTAATTATTTGAACATTGCATACTGAACAAAAATATTCATGCAACAATTAACGATTTTACAGTTCATATAAGGAAATAAGTCAATTGAAATAAATTCATTAGGCCCTAATCTATGGATTTCGCAGGGGTGCAGCAATGGGTGGGCCTTGGAGGCCAGGGAGCCAGGCCCAGCCAATCAGAATGAGTTTTTCCCCACAAAAGGGCTTTATTACAGACAGAAATACTCTTCAGTTCCATCAGCCGTCCGGGTGGCTGGTCTCAGACGATCCCGCAGGTTAAAAAGCCGGATGTGGATGTCTTGGGCTGGCGTGGTCACACGTGGTCTGCGGTTGAACATACTGCCAAATTCTCTAAAACGATGTTATAGGCTGGTTATGGTAGAGAATTGAACATTCAATTCTCTGGCAACAGCTCTGGTGGACATTCCTGCAGTCAGCATGCCAATTGCACACGCCCTCAAAACTTGAGACATCTGTGGCATTGTGTTATGTGACAAAACTGCACATTTTAGAGTAGCCTTTTATTGTCCCCAGCACAAGGTGCACCAGTGTAATGATCATGCTGTTTAATCAGCTTCTTCATATGCGACATTGTCAGGTGGGTGGATTATCTTGGCAAAGGAGAAATGCTCACTAACAGGGATGTAAACAAATTTGTGCACAGAATTTGAGATAAAAAAAAATTTGCATATGGAAAATGTCTGGGATCTATATTTAGGTCATGAAACCACCACTTTACATGTTGCGTTTATATTTTTGTTCAGTATAGCTAGCTAGTTAGCTGGAAAATATTTGATTGGACAATTCAACTGCAGTTTCAAGATGAGACAAATCAACCAAAATATGTTTGGCTAACTATCAAGAAGAAATTCATAGGATGAAAACGTATAATCATCTAAAAATAAATGTAGTTTCCAGGCGAATTAGCTAATGTTTCCTTTGAAATTAGAGCGTTAGCTGGCTATCAAAAAAGCGTGTCTAGCTGTGTCATGATACTTCCTAGCTAGTTAGCATAAGCTAACTAGCTAGCTAGCTAACGTTAGCTCATGACAAGGCTAAAACTCAAATATGAGGACGGGACTAGATTTTCAAAACCGTAATTCTCAAGAAAAACACTTACCGATTTTCTCGCAAATTTAACTGAAGACTTAATCTCTCTACATTTCACATTCCGTATACATTTTTCTTGAATTACCTGAAGTTTAGCAGGCAACAAAAGTTATTTCTTGTATCAGACTTCCTCGTTGGTCTTCTTCGTGGGGTGCGTGAACGTTTGCTTCTTCTATGGTGACTCCTTCGCATTTCTACCAGTAGACAATAGCAGCAGCTCCACCCACTTGAAATGGCAAGCACATTGGCCTCAGGATTTCCTGTGTGGTTTTTATTTTCTTGGATCTCAAAACCAAGGATATACTGCTCAATTTAATTGTTTTTGTTGTCCTGTGAGATTTTGTAAACAGAGATTAAAGGCTTCCAATAATGTATAAAAAGTGTCTCATGGAAAGTCATACATGACTTGACCACTACAAATAAAGTGTATTACAACGAACGCCCCTTGCTTAGATAGGCACTGTCCTCGTTTGCTACACTAGTGTCAAAAGTGGGTCGAGGCCACCAAAAACGTGTGTAAATAGAACACTAGGGTGGATATAGTTCTATTTAATTCTACATGTACATGCCTCTCTGATGGCCTCCCACTTCTGACACCAATGTCTCGTATGCACGGAAACTGGGAAGCGGTCCTCTCCATAAGATTTAATGAAATTCTACAGTATTTCAATTAAATGTTTAATGGACAAAATTACATGTATTTAAGTATTTTTGTAATGGGGACAGTAACATTAGAACTTTCCAAAAATTATACTTTAAGGAAAAGGTTTTATATTGGGCTTCCGAGCGGCGCAGCGGTCTAAGGCACTACAGACCCCCTGGTTCGATTCCAGGCTGTATCACAATCGGCCGTGATTGGGAGTCCCATAGGGCGGCGCACAATTGGCCCAGCGTCGTCTGGGTTTGGCCAGTGTAGGCCGTCATTGTAAATAAGAATTTGTTCTTACCTGATTTGCCTAGTTAAATAAAGGTACAAAATATATTTGTTCATGTTTTATTTGTATGTTTAGCTCACATAATGTAATTTAAAAGTATGCATTAAGGTATCTGTAATAGAATAAACATGTACAAAACATTTTGGGACATTAATAATTGTAATGCTTTTCTATAACATCAAACGTTGTTTTTTTTTTACAACGGTGGGGGAGTGCCAAATGGAGGCTTCAAAACAGCGCCCCCTGTCAGTCGTCTAGTGTATATATAAATCATTGTTAGGTGAACTCGCTAACCCACTTGGGGGAGATAGTAAACAAGCATACCAAGGCAAACCTTTAATAAAACACTGCCAGGAGGTTAGACCTATAAATACAAGTTACTCAATCTGATCCAGGAACATGTCCAGCTTCATGTATTGCGCCATCAAAGACTAGCTATTGGAAATGTTGAACGATAGACCAGAGATGTTTTATAGATGTTTTAGAAAGCTATTGTAAGTGGTATTGGGGAAAGGTGGAAACACTCCTTCATTTTTCTTGATTACATCACTCAGACAGATTTACGGAAGAACAGAGAGGACATATGAAAATAAATATCCCTTGTTTTGTCGTCGCGATCACAAAATAATTGTGTGATCTCGATAAAACAACTTTTGTTATGCCGTGATCACAAGACAATTATTTTGTGATCTCGTCAAAACGAGGGATTTTTAAAAATATAAATGAATATGTCCTCTGGATTTCTGTGCGAATTATCTCCTACCTCCTACTTTTCCAACACCCGATGTGTGTTCAGTTCGATTGAACCTGTGCTACGTTGCAGAACGGTTAGTGGTTAAGCGCGTTGTGCCAGTAACCGAAAGGTCGCTGGTTCTAATCCCCGAGCCGACTAGGTAAAACATCTGTCGATGTGCCCTTAAGCAAGGCACTTAATCCTAATTGCTCATGTAAGTCGCTCTGGATAATAGCGTCTGCTAAATGACTGAAATGTAAATGAAATGTACACGTTTCCCAAAAACGTTCTTTGTATGTTCTTGAACAGGGGTATATTCATTATGCCAATTATGTTGCAAAACATTTCTTAAACGGAAGCAAACGGAACGAAGCAAACCCCTCCCCGTTTTTTACCCATGGTCGTTCAGTACAGCACTTGTTTCCGTTTCATTGAATGGTCGGTCCATTACGTGTTTTTTGTAATGAAGGCAGCCCCAGGCGCGCGCACGTCAGCCTGCGACGTATCATCGGGAGCGAGCTTGGGAGGGATTGACAGCCGGACAGTAACGCTTCTAGTTTAGCTAGTTTACTACCTTCCTTTTTATTTTTAAATGAGTGCTCAACCAAGCAAGCTAGCCTGAATTTTTGCCTGGCATGCGAGCAGCATAGATACCTTTCAATATCTCAAATCGGAAATCCACTGTGCCCAAGTAGCTAAACGGTAAGAAGTGCATTTTATAGTACATTTCGTATCCCCGGACCATGCTAGTTATCTAGCTGGCTGGCTTCTCCGCAGTCCTTGGATTAACGTTAGCGAATGAATCGTTGCCTGGTGGTGTTAGCTAGCATGCTAACTATCTAGCACTTCTAACTAGCAACTGCTAAACCAACATGGATGCTGTGTTTCTTTGATGCGGTAGCAAGAGATTATCCGCTTGACTGTTTGTCTTCCGATCTTTCTGTTTTTAGACAGCGAGTGGGAGATTGCTGGTAGGTTCGTTTTAAAAAACCAGGCCATGATGAATTGGCTAACGTTAGCTATATTTTAGTAAACCAGTTAACTAGCTAAACATCTTCTATTTGAGGATATCCAGCTAACGTTAACTAGCCAACATGGACCCCGGCGAGTTGAGTAAATCTGGATTTGCAATAAATGTGACCGGTGATTATAGCTACCTAGCTAACTAACGCTAGTTGTTGTCGATGTTTGTCACAACAAATGTTTTAGCTACTTTTCGTATAGAACCATATTACATTCACTGGTCCAAGGAAACACTAAGATATATGTTTAGGTCCCCCTGACCATAGATTCGTTAAGTTCTTTAGCCAGCTGGTAAGCTAAACAAATCAGGTTCGTGTTAGTCAGCCTTGCTTGGACCCTTTTAAACGAATCTAGTTCCTGCGAGCTAGTTACCTATTTAACTGATCAGCTGATGCCAGTACTAGCCATGTTAGCATGCCATGCCTTAGTCATTTAGAATAACAGAACAGCTCAACTCACTATATCTTGAGTTCAGTGAGGCCAACCCTTTAAGTCTGTGGGCCAAACATGAGCCCTTGATTCCACATCACGTTCTACAAAGGATCTGATCACTATAATGGAGATAAGCTACCTCTCATATAGACTGGGTGCATGATTTAGTTATGTGGACGGCAAGACAGCGTGGATGTGGCTTTAACTTCCTCCAAAACGCACTCACATTTAGCATCGTGTAGCCTCACGATGTGCACATCTAAAGGGAGTTGTTTCGTTCTGTCATCATGAAGAAGAGCGTCATCTCTGACGATGGCTGACTAGTGACTATAGAGGATATCGTAAATCAAATGTATGGTTCATTATTAGGCAGGTCACAGCCAGGAGGAGAAGCCTGGATGCAAATATGGCCAACCTTTTATTTGAGCTGATTTGAGGGTGTGGATTAGCGGTAAATCCTAGTTAGTGTCAACAAGTTCATTGTGTGTACAGGCCTAAAACTTGTGCTATTGACAGTCTTTCTGCTTCAGGCAAGATGTGGGTGGAGCTGACCATTTAGTTACAGTATCTGTTTGAATGTTGTTGACCCAGAAAAATTACTCCCTCAGTTAGGCAACTCAAAGATCAACATATGTTTGTGTGATGGTTACCAGTGATGTAGTGGTCAAATTGGTGGGTGAAGTCTGATTGCAGGTCGCAGTGAAAAAAGTCACGCTTTCTATAATAATAATGCATTTTTCTTCAAAAGATGGGTAAACTGGTCCGGAGAGAAAAATAAAGTTGAGTAAACTGTGTTTACTTGCGTTTACCCTCCATTACTGGCTAGCTTCTCTCTATGGTCAGAAAGGATGGGCCTATTTCTCCTTTCAGGCATGTTGAGAGCATTTTAGCTAGTTGATCTTAGTGTCTTGTAATCTGTCCCAATACACTGTTCAACTTTCACTTCCATTGTCCCTGCTCTCTCTCACACACTCTCTCTCCTCTCGCTGAATGACATTAATCCCAAAGCTTCTGCTTCCACATGTGGAAAGGGGCCCACGGTAGGGTTAGTAAATCAGCATAGAAGGGTTACAGAAGGGTACTGTATACCATCAACACACTGCACAGTAAGCATCTCATTGAGAAAATACTGTGGCTCTGTCACAAATGGCACCCTATTCCCTATATAGTGCACTACTTTTCATCAGGGCTCTAAGGGTAGTGCACTATATATATAGGAAAAAGGGACGCAGACCATAACGCAGGATTGGTTGGCCGCTGCCCGTTAGTTCATTCGTTGGATGCTTTTGCTTCAGAGGTCTCTTCCAAAATGTCCAATTATAGAGCTTAGCAGGCTACGTGAGAGCGAGCGACCTGTGTGTGAGAGCCAGCGACCTGTGTGTGAGAGTGAGCGACCTGTGTGTGAGAGCCAGCGACCTGTGTGTGAGAGCCAGCGACCTGTGTGTGAGAGCCAGCGACCTGTGTGTGAGAGCCAGCGACCTGTGTGTGTGTGCCAGCGACCTGTGTGTGAGAGCCAGCGACCTGTGTGTGAGAGCCAGCGACCTGTGTGTGAGAGCGAGCGACCTGTGTGTGAGAGCCAGCGACCTGTGTGAGAGTGAGCGACCTGTGTGTGAGAGCCAGCGACCTGTGTGTGAGAGTGAGCGACCTGTGTGTGAGAGCCAGCGACCTGTGTGTGAGAGCCAGCGACCTGTGTGTGAGAGCCAGCGACCTGTGTGTGAGAGCCAGCGACCTGTGTGTGTGTGCCAGCGACCTGTGTGTGAGAGCCAGCGACCTGTGTGTGAGAGCCAGCGACCTGTGTGTGAGAGCGAGCGACCTGTGTGTGAGAGCCAGCGACCTGTGTGAGAGTGAGCGACCTGTGTGTGAGAGCCAGCGACCTGTGTGTGTGTGAAGAGGTTTCAGCAGCTGTGTTTACCTCAGGCCTTGTAGCTCCAGTATCATATAACTTTGTACACAAGGAGGACGGCATTGGTGGTGGGACAGCTGATAGGCCTGAAAGGGAAACCCATTCATCCACTCACCATTTAGGCCAGAGCACAGCAGGGCACGTTAGTTGCCTGGCAGTCTGTGTGCGTCACAAAGTGTACCCTATTCCCTATATAGTGCACTACTTTTGACCAGGACCCACGGGGGGAAATCGGTTGAATA